TAAAGAGAGAATGAGGGGTGGGGGGTGGGGCCGAGCCATGCTCTGTGTGTGAATGGATAATGTTCTTTCACAATAGCGTGGCTCTGCAGCGAGTCTGCTTGAGTGCCCCTTTAGCAAGAGGCTTGCAATTGGGGGCACTCAGCAGGGGGGAGAAGCCAGGACTGCCAGCAGGGGACCCAAAAAGAATAGCATCGGGTCTGGTCTGTGCAAAACCATTGCACAGAACAGGAAAGTATAACATGTTTGTTATATTAAAAAAAAAAAAATCAACCTTTTATAATCTCTTTGACCTTCTGCTACTTTAAACTAACATAAGGCTGCAGAGAGCACTTTTCGGGAACAGTTGTTCTACATAAAGCAATGAACCAAACATTCTCATTGGTGTCATGTAAAATACATGGACCTGGAAAATATACCTGCAGATTGTCGAATCTCTGACTCTGTGCTTTTTAGATGTCTTCATAAGTGTCACCCCATTAGTTGGTAATTTTTCTTGAAGTAGTCTAGAAAGCATTTTGGTTTCTGTCTTCTGTAGACTGACACATTAACAGCTCCTACCTTTAGCCTTTATAGCTGTGCATTAGTGTAATTAAATACATAATTCAAATAATTTGTTGTAATGAGAGATGCACGCTTGTGAATGATTAGATCTGCAGTCTGGCAGGAAGTCATTTTGCTTTGAGATTATTTTTCCCATTTCTGCTCTATCACCATTATTGCACATTTAATTATCTTTCTTAATCTACATATGGTCACCTCTCATGCCCTTTCATTAGTCCCTATCCTTACTATATTGCCCTTGTAATCGGTTTCATTATACTGGGACAGATGCTTTTCAGACACACCTATCCATCAGGTGTGCCCCAGTGTTCAGAAGGGTGGTTTTAAGTTATGCAATGACTGATATATTCACATTAGGTGAATTTGATTAAATTAGATGTAAATAATTACAAGGACAAATTTCTGCATATTGGGGTAGAACACCAACCATTGGGGAAGGTGAAGTCTGCTTAGATGAACATAGCACCAGTAGTGTATTTAGGTTTTGTGCTGCTCTAGAAATCTGATGCCCCCCCCCTCCCCGGCGGAGAGAGCCTGACACTGACTAACACCAGACCCCCACCATGGAGAGAGCCTAATACCAACCAACACCAGATCCTAACCACCAAGAGAACCTGACAGTGACCATGAACACCCCCATGCCGCATATGTCCCTTCTTCGGGGGGGCACTGTTGCCCCCCTAAAAAATGCTGCCCTAGGCAAATGCCTTGTTTGCCTTGTGGTAAATACGCCCCTGCATAGCACCAGCATCTAAGGAAGAGGGATCAGTTTGGAGATGCAAAATATTGGAAAGTAGTTATTTACAGAGATGAACCGCAGGCCAACTAAGTACATAGATGAAAAACATATATGGAAGCCTTTTTAACTTGGGGGGGGGGGGGGGATTTAATTTCAGTACAGTCCTGAGATTTATACAACTCGGTCACATGGTACAGCCAGAAAGGTGACATTCCCTTAAGCTAGCCATAGTCGGAAATTCAGACAGCTCAGCATGGAAAGGCTACGTTTCAGTCGATGTGTGGTCATCTGTCATTTAATTGACTGGCTTCAAAGGGATGTGCTGGAAAAAATTCATGATTAGCGGTTGTAGTGTATTCTAACAACATCAGAAGCCACTGTCAGATTACATTGTCCTGGCAGGGGCATTCCTCCATCCACCCTGTTGGTGTAGATAAGCGGTCACTAAATGGCGGTCCGTGAACGGTCCTAGCAGTGGTCCCACCTGAACTGCCAGCCCTCAATGACAGATCCACCGCTGAGCAAGGCGGTCGTCACGGCAACATGACATCATGTGTGTGCTCCGCCCCTTTCAGCTCACTGTTTCTTCGGCTCCTGCTCCCTGCCTGTACACAAGCGTCCAGCAAGGATCCCGGCACAGCTTCTGTCTGCCCTCAAGGTAGGGTGTAGTCTTTTTTTAGATGTCCTCATAATTATTATTATTATACAGGATTTATATAGCGCCAACAGTTTGCTCAGCGCTTTACAATGTAAGTGTCACCCCATTAGTTATAGTCTTACTGGGGCACTCTGATGGGACATTGAATGTTAAGGGGTACTCTGATGGGCGCAACATAGAATGTGCCTATCAGAGTGCCTCTTAACATAACATGTGCCCATCAGAGTGCCTATTAACATTACATGTGACCGGACCTCCTTGAATTTTAATTCAATACCACTGGTGTAGATGGAGAAACCCTGGTATTGGTTTTTTTTTTGGTGTTTTTTCATTCATCTGAATGGCTAGAATTAAGGATTCCAATGTTGTCCTTGTCTACCTTTTTAAGTGATTGCAGGAGGCTGATATCAGGTCAAATTCAAGGATACACACTAGTCTCAGTTAAAAAAAAATAAATAAATTTAAGAATATTGGTTACAGAGCTGTGTTTCATTTGTGTCCTTTTAGATCTCTCTGGAGTATTTCTGGCCATGCAAACTTTTTCAGATGTATGGTTTTGAAAGTTCTTGGCCTTTCACTGGTACATTTATGTGAATATTTTTCATTCTCACTAGAACCAGAATGCAGTCAAATCTTTTTCTTTCCTGTAGAGTGAAGTGGATTAGATTGGGTAGATGTTGTTTTTTTTTTTTGTTTGTTTTTTGATGTTGTCATAGAGACCTCAGACATGACAGGGGAAAGTACAGAAAATAACTTAATGTGTCAGACATAAAGTGTGCTCTTACCTTCCTCTTGGATATGGCACCACAGTATGTTTTTGGCTCTGCATTCCAAAGAATGTGTTGTCAGCCCTGCTTACTTTCTGATATATTACACAGGAGAGCACAGACCTCTCATCTTCTTTCCCCTCCTTATCCCTATGACCCCTCATTGTGCTCAGGAAGTTATTGTCTCACAAGATTGCTGGCAAAATAAACAGGTACCGTACTTTTTGTACTTCTCAAACAGATGTAATACAAATTCAATGTTCAGTGTCACTTCAAATAGTTTGGTAGGGCCATGCTTGTCCAAGTGACTGTAGTAGCGTTAGTAACATACAATAAGCTGCGCTGTGTTTCGGCAGCAGTACAGATGACTTCCCATCTGCTGCTTGAATTATAGGCAGTCAGATTGAGTGCTACTCTGCTGTTCAGGAGTAGCCTTGTACTTTAATGAATACAAGGCTTCCTGTGATTGTCCGAGGCAGAGATCCATGATGCTAGGCCAATCCGGGAATCCTTACATCCATTGATAAAAATTCAAGGCTTCTCATTGGCAGAGGAGCACTAAGCCTGACTTATTTCTATCTGGCAGCAGATGGAAAGTCACTTATTTTGCTGCCGGAACACAGCATATGCTACTACAGTCCATTGTAGCACATCTGGTGACCACGTCTGCCTCTAATGGAAATAAGTAAAGTGGTACTCTACCCAAAAGGTGAAGCTCCCTTTGTTTGCACCCCTCAACTCCGAGTCTCCTCCCCTTACAGTATTTGTAGCTAGATCACCGACAGTCTAGCCTGCACAGGTCAGAAGAGGCCATGACAGCTTGAAGGAGGGATGGATCTGGGCTCAGCCTCATCTCTCAGCAATGAGCAAGCTGGCTGGGATGTGTTCTTTGCTGATCACAGCTTAGTGCACCTTCCAGAACTGCCCCGTATGTCCTATAGTCGGTAGAACCTTCCACCACCAGTACTGAAGTCAGAGTATAGACACACCCCCTCCCTGAAAGCCACTGCAGTCATTGCTCCATGACACCCATAATGTGTGGTGAGGAGGACATCTGACAGTGTCTGCTGTGTAAAGTGTTTTTAAATATATCTGGTTATTAAAGTAGAACTAAAATATGGTTTGTTTGTTTTTAACCCATTTTGGATAGAGTAAGGGAGGATTATAACCCTGTCAGTTTTTTTGCCATCTGTATCCCATTAGGGAGATTTCCCTTAATTTCCTGTCCCATAGCCAAAACAGGAAGTGAGAGGAAATCCCTCCAAAGAGATCAAATCCCTAGTGATCACCAGAAATAGTGTCCTCATTGGAAGATTTCCTTTCTATTCCTATTCTGGTGACGACACAAAGTTTGGGATTTACTTTCGCTCTTGGATATATTGGTAAATAGGGCAATTAGAGAGGGGGAATCTCACTAATGAGGACACAGACAGCAATAAAAATTTGACCGGGATTTTAATCCCTCTCCACTCCATACAAAACGGCGGGCTAAATAATGTTTGCCTATATTTTAATCACTACAAGTCTTTGAGTATGCTAATTGCTCCCTAGCTCAGCAGGGCGCCCAGGGTGCTGTGAAGTTGTCCCTTTTTACATATAAAAGGCAAAGAAAATGCTGATAATACTGAGATAAGGTGGAACAAGAATATCTGTTGTAACCTGAAGCTCTGTATCCTCTGCAGCAAGTGCACTGGAATCAGGGACAGCAAGCCGAGCGCAGAGACAAGTCACTTAACACCTTACATGCCGGACTATAACACAGGCACTTTAATGGTCGGGATTCAGAAGCTCAGGTGCCATGACAGCCGAGCAGGGACACAGACACGGGTCATCATTATTAACAGTGCCAATTACCGGAGATTCAGGATTTCACAGCAGCTGTAGCACCCCATGCCTGTTTTGTAGTCCTGGCTTGTAAGGAGTTAAGTGACTTCAGGTACCTCCTAGGCGTTAGCTTGGTGGATGGCTAGTTTTCCCTGGTTCCTGTGCATGCGCAGTCAATGCAGGGGATACAGATCTTCACAGAATACACATATTCATACTACACCTGGACCTTGATTTGGCTGCTCAGCATGCACCTATATTGAGTTACTTCTGTCTGTGAGGGTAAGCAGTAAGAGAGTTGTTTTTTTTTTTTTTTCCCCCATTGGGGCCGGCGCTTTATTTACTTGCTGAGCGTTGAGAGCTGGACACTCCCCTTACCTGACGAGCACCCAATCAATGCTCATCACATTGTAAGGTCTCTTACCCTCCCTGCTAGGTGCTGGAGACAGGGAGGTGTTTAACCACTTCCTGTCCGGTCCATGTATATAAACGGCTGGACGGGAGCGTTGCAGGAGTGGGTGGCCATTTAGAAACATCCTCCCTGCCTGTGCGCACTCCCTGGGAGCGCACGGCACCGATCGCTGTACGGGACCTCTGTGTGAGGTCCCGATCACGTGATCACTGATTGGCAAATCAGTGATCACATGAATAGTAGTAAGCAAGATGTCACTTCTGACATCATTGCTTACTACTAGTGAAATCTGTGAATGATCACAGAGGTCACATGGTACAAGGCTTTTCACAACAGCCTTTTACCATGTGACAAGCTGTGACCAATCACAGCTCACATATTATTTCTCAATGGCTGCAAGAATGCAGCCAGAGAGAAGGAGAAATGATTGCTTTTACAGCCTTTATGGGTATAAAAGCAATTTCTGTAAAAAAAAAAAAACAAATTCATCACCCCCCCATAAGTAGTACAGTGTCTATGGTGACCGTATGTAAAAAAAAAAAACAAAAAAAAACCTATAAATGATAATATAAAAAAATTTAAATTAAAATGTCAAAAAAAGTTTTGAAAAATTATAATTTGTTTTTGTTTTTTTTTTTTTTTACTATAAAGATAGATGAATACGTTTTGGCCAAGATTTATGAAAAAAGATATTAGTTATTTGCAAAATTTTATAAGATAAACTTTTTTTTTTCAAAATGTTTGGACTTTTTCATGTATATAGCGAAAAAAAAAAATCCCAGTTGCTGAATAAATACCACCAAAATAAAGTTTTATCTGTCTCAAAAAATGCTAAAAAATTCATATGGGTACAGTGTTGCATGACCGCGCAATTGTCATTCAAAGTGTAACAGCGCTGAAAGCTGAAAATTTGCCTGAACAGGAAGGGGGTGAAAGTGTCCAGACTTAAAGTGGTTAAAATCTTTTTTTTTTTTTTTTTTTTTTTTGCTAATCAGGACAAGTAGATTTGGACCCTGATTTAGTCCCTTACACAAGTAGTTTTCTAAAAAAATATTTCCACACCCCTGTAAGTATGTTTGTTATTAAAAAAAAAAAAAGACTATCACTTTCATTGAACAAGCTGACTTTCAAAGCTATTTGGCTACTATTCAGAGCAGCACCAGATTTCGATTGCTTCTGTTTTAGTAAATGTACCTCTATATGTCTATGGGGATCTACTATGTATAAACAGGCAGCAGAAAGCAAAGATGCACCAGCCACAAGTGAAATTTGTGACGGAACACTGTTGGACTTGGTGCCAGAACTGTGCGAGTATACAGCAAAGGAAGGGAAGGTCGGTTTAGATTGGGGGTCACCAACCAGTGGATCGTGGCCAGGTAACTGGTACATCTCAGTCTGGTCTCGCTGCCATCCCAGAGCATCAAACAGAGTGCAATGCCTTGTAAAGTTTGGAGCTGTAGTAGGGAGCAAGAGCCACATACGTTGTCTCCTCTGTCATGGTTGGTGGACGTAGCACCAGCCAAGCATGACCCAATTAAGTGAATGCGGCGCTCTGCAATTGCCCTGCAATTTTGTGCAGAATGGCAAACAAGGGGTTAAACAGGTTGCTTTCTCACCACCTCCTTGGAGCCCTTGGACTTTGCCAGGTTGGATTTGATTTAAATCACTAGTGAAAAGGTTCGATTTAAATCATAATTTTTAAAGAGCAAGTGTCCTCTCTGTCCCGCTTTTGGCTCCTCCTCTGATCGGCTGTTGACTCACCGACAGTCTCATTCACTTCAATGGGACGGTTGGTGATGCGGCAGTGATGCAACAAGGTGAGGGACGTGGCATCAGCAGGTGAGTGGATGCCCGCTAACAGGAGCTGCCATGATGGATTCAAAATGACAGGTGCTCTTTAAATGTAAGGAATCCGACTCATTCTTGCTGGTAATTAGAATCTTTAATATTTGCAAACCAAATGAAGGTTTCCTTTTTAGAATAATAAGCTGTCAGGTTAGTCAAACAGTGATATCAGAACCGATTTTAGGTTAATAGGTTAATCACACATAGTTAAGAGAGCTACTCAAATTCTTTTAATTCATGTTTTTTCTCATGGTTACTGTGAAATTGTGTGAATGCAGTGCATGTTATCTCAGCTTGGATTCATTGAATGAGCTTACCAAAAATGTAAATATTGCAGAATATACAGCCTCATGCTACATAACTAAGCTAAATTTCATGCTGAATAAACTAAATTATTAATGTATCCTAAATAGAAAACTATCTTTAGATAGATTTTTACTCCAAAATCATTTTATTAAAATAAATTTGATAAAAATAAAAACAAATCAGATTTAAATGAAAAACAAAATCAGAGTTATTTATTTTAAAAAATCATCGATTTTTATCCACCCTGGACCCTGCAGAAGCAGGCAATTGCATGGCACTTGCAGAGTGGCCCATTTACTTGAATGGGTCTCGGCTGACAAGCAGTAGCACCCACCAAAGGCAACAGGGGGTGTAATTCCTGCTGCGGCATGTGTACAGCTTTTACCTCCCCTCAATTTACATGTTAAGCCCTTAGGGTGCAGCTGCCAATTACAAATAAGGGCTCAGTCACAGGTGCAGTAGGCAGTGCTGCTCCTCTGCAAAGCAATCTCAGTGTGTTTGACAGGTGGTGAGGAGGCGATATGTTGCCTCCTCATCACCTGATTGCTGTGCAATGCATAGGATTGTGTCATGGTAGTTACAATTAGAGGTTTAAATCAGGTGTGAGGTGGCAACACTGTGCCCGGTGATCTTTGACTTCTCCCATGTGGTTCAGGTAGATCTCCACCTATTTAAGGTTGCCTATCTCTAATTTAGATCAACACAGGGAGGTGGGGATAGGGCTAGAAAATGTGAGAATTTCATTTGAAAGTTGCCTTATGTTTTAACCTCCCTAGTTGGTCTGATTTTATGTCAATGATTTTGAATGTCAAAGCGGTACTTTGTTTTGCATGGAAATTTCAGTGTCTTAATGACAAATTTCCCCACAAGTCACTATCGCTCAATTCTGCAAGTGATGCTTTTTGGATGCCATGGACGTTCTCAAGTCTCCAGGCAAAGAGAATGGTATAAGTGCAGGCAGGGCACTGGACAAAACTGAGGTGAAATGGTTTGATACAGTAATGGAATCCTAACAGATTACAATGTATTGTGTGTATGTCATGGTTTTACTTTTTTTAATCTCCCGCCGGTTCCAACACCCTGCGTCGCGGCACTCACAGGGAAGGGAACCCGGAAGACGGATGCCGGAGGACACAGTGGGAGGACATCGGGGGGATCGCAGGGTCAAGGTAAGTTACACCACACACACACACTACAGTGTAATCCCGATTGTGGCTCGGGGTTACTGCTTTTGGTACTGAAAATGAACCCTGAGCCACACTCGGGATTACCGCCAGGGCGGTTAAAGTAAAAACCGTTTTAAGGCTTTATATTTGTGTTTTGCGTGGCTATTTCTTAAACAAAAATAACCAACTTTTTAAAGCCTGAGCTGCTTTAAAACATATTTGCCAAGATCTGAAACACAACAAAAATGTAGCAGCTGAGATTGTATAAGATAGGAATTCCTTAAAACATATGGGAAGCACATACTGCCAGCTATTTTGGGAAGCCCCCTTATATGTCCTCATAGTCCACAAATCACAAGGCCAGTAGCGCAGATCACAGTATTTCACAAGATTTCCTGCACACTGTCGTTCACTGCAGGGTGCTATTCCATACAACTTAATTCAGGCCTGCACCCTTTTTTAATGCAGCGCATCAGCACACATGGCATATGCATTGTGGTGCACAGCAGTGCAAGTGTGTTGGTACCAAATTTACTTGTGCATTGGGGTGCCATTCTAAATGAATGGTCCTGCAACACAGCACACAGTATGTTGTGTATTACCATTGTTGTCGAGTGTACATAACGGAACACATAGCTTTGAAGGGGGCTAATGGGCTAGCTGCTAGTTCATATTTATTCTAATGTGTACTACTCTCAGATGTGAGCTGGGTATTTACCAGCATGAGAGTTGTCTTGATAAATTTAACAGGGTCTGGATTGGCTGGCTGGATATTCCTGGCCTAGCTCTGACAGGCCTAGTCATGGATAGATTATTATGTTGACATTTTTGTATCTTTATCTACTGTATCCTAACATCTGCAGGCGTAGCCTGTCCCAAGTGCGTAGCAGGATGGCAGGGTAATTCTCAGTGACTCTGCGGTAGGACATGGATTTTGACTAGTACTTCCTTGGCATGCTGTTGCTTGCTGTACTTTTTGAAACCCCACAGAAAGAGTCTAGTCTCTTTATGACTGAACATTCTGGAACATGCTGTTTTGTATATATGCAGTTGATTCAGTAAAGTTCTTTTTGACAAAAAAAAAAAAAATTCTAATCCCCATTGCACTTACTTTAGATCTGCCGGTGATGCGGTCCAGGAGCCTGCACCATATTCGGTAGCACTGAATCACAAAAATCTCTTTGCAGGCTTACACTTAGACAGCTTTATCATTTGACCTTATAAAGCATCCAGTACTCTTGGCACCTTGACATTTCATCTATCTGCCTACCACTGCACCCCTGAGTTAAACTCTCTGCCCCCCAGCACCTCTACCACTGATTCCCAAACATTCTATTTTAAACACAGCACCAATATTTGTCACTGATCCCTCCTATACTATTATACCTTTCTATAGTATTATTTTGAGCATGCAGCCTGTATATCAGGTTGAAACTAAGAGGAAACCAAAACTCCATTTTAATTTCTGCTTCCTTCTCCTCATTCACCTATAGGATCCCTGTATGGCACCATAATAATCAGAACATTAGCAGTAGAGCTGTTTTCCAGTTAACTGAACATGTTATGTTTTATAAATTAGTATGTAGGCTGACTGTCTTTCCATTATTAGCACAAATTGCTTGGGGGAAGGGTTTGTGAAAGAGGAACTTTTCTGCTGGCTGTATCGTCAGTGTGTTCAGCACCTGTTAAATATAGAAGCTTCTGCTTTTCTAATATACCATAGTTATTCTCAGCATAAATACATTTTTGTAATGAATATTGCATATCATTGTAACAATCTTTACTTACTGGGCTGACGTCCGATGGTAACCTGTTTTTGTATTTGTGAGCAGAAAAACAAATATACAGATGTATTTTTTTATCATCAGACTTTGTGTGTGTAAACAGCAGCATTAGTGACAGCAAGACTGTTTGTGTAGAAGAGGAAACCACGAGAAATGGCCTGATGGTCCTTCGTACTCTTCTCCCTCCCAACTTCCTCTTCCTCTTGAAGCCAATGTCTGATTTAAATTTTTCTTCTTATACAGTGGAAGAATGGTGTTGACTGAGGTGCTGTGTACATGCTTAGCTCTTGTACAGAAGGCAGCCTTCATCTGTCTTAGCAGCATGCATCTGAGTGACTAGCCTGACCATTGAGCGGACTGTTATTTGCACAATTATGGCAATTCAGTGCAGGCATCTGCAATGTGTGGGGAATCAGAAAAGTGTCTTGTGCAAGGTTTGACCAAGTTTTCATCCCCAGTCCAAGCTTGGGAAACAGTGATAGAGATGTTCTTCCTTGACATCACAGGACAGGAAGTCCATGGTACGTAGGAAAATAATTATCACCATACATTTTCTCTTCATTTTGTTTTTAGTTCTATTAAATATGTAAACCCAACATTTAACATTACTGGTACATGCCTGCTGTACCATGTTTTGTATGAAAAAGTATCTTGTTCTCTTTCTATTGCTTAATTTGTGTGAAATCCCTGGTATTCCTGCCAGTCCCTCTGCTTTAAAGTTAAAAACTGACCACACTATGCATGAGAGTACAGTGGTGGTCAGGTTTCTGGCTGAGCTGGGAGCTAATAAGATTATCAGGCTTGTGCTGACACCCCAACCCCCCCCCCCCACATTAATTTACTGGGAAGATC